AACCATTACCTATTTTAAAACAACCATGATCTTCTATTCCTATGGATTTTATTATAAATCGTTTGTTTCTATCAATTTTATTATAGATCTTATAGTTTAAAGTTTATATGATTCTATATTTGTGATAGTAGATCATTTTATTAAGATGACATATTTTTTATTATATACAAAATCTATCACAGGTAAAGAAACAACTTAGTTTTTTTTTGACAATATCTATTGCTATTATAGATTACTCAAAGATATTATATTGAATAAGAAGACTCAATTCGTATCAAGATTTTAAAGAATTTTTTTTAAGATTTTAAAAGTAAATATAAAGCTCTCTTTGGCTTTTTTTCTTTAAATTGATTAGCAAAAAAAAATGAATGAATCAAGTTTTAAAGTAATATTTGATGTATACCATCAACTATCATCAAGGTGATTAGATAACTTTTTTGTCATTGGCAAAGTTTGCATACAATAATTTGGTACATTCTTCTATTCAAAAAATACTTTTTTTTGCCAATTATGGTTATCATCCATAGCTTAACATTTTTAAATTTTTAAAAGTTGATAATCTTGTGGCAAAAGATTTGGTGAATTGTTTGTAAGAGCTACATGTAACAAGGTAGGCATAGTTAAAGCAAGCTCAAGAACAACTACAAGATTAATGCAAATACCTATTGTAAAGAACAACTACAATTTATTGTAAGTAACATGATATGGCTATTTTTTTGCAATATCAAGATTACTTATCTTTGTAACAAGTTGGACTATCATAGGTTTAAATCTTTTTCTATTTGTAAATAAGTCAATCTTGTTGCTTATTGATTACATCTATTAGAGTCTATAAAGATCCATACTATATTTCTTATATCTTTTTTTTGAGGCATATAAGACAATGAATATCTCAAAAGAAAATAATTGCCACTTCTTCTTAGAGAAGTGAATAATAATCAAAAAATTGAGTTAGAAGAAGTCTTAGATTTAAGATAGTACAAAAATAGATTAAAATATGTTTTTTATTAGTATAAATATGATATTAGTAAACACACATACAAGCCAATAAAAAAATCTTATAAACATAGCAAAGAAGATTGAAGCTTTTCATTGATAATATCAATTAAAACAAAGATAGAAAATATCAATCTTTGCTATTAAAGAAACAAGATCTAAGAAACAAGACATTCTATCTTTTATTCTTATTTATAGCTTTTATGTATTTGCCATACTACACAGGTGAAAAATTAATAACTAGCAAATTCAACTGAAAAGCTATCACTTGTTGATTTATTAAATGAGATATTGCAATTATCTCAACCTTCAAAAAAATATAATTAAAATAAAGATCCTCAAAAATGATATATCTTTCTTTGAATAGATGGAAAGATACAACATATTTAGTATCACGACCTTAAAAAAACTCTTAATGTTTGGTGATTTTATTAGAGGTAGAAACAACTCTTGACAATATTTCAAATATTTTATTTGAAGGGACTTATGAAGGCCTCAAAAATGATCAAATAACAAGGTAGTCTTCTTTTCTTGATATGAGATACTATCAATGATAAGAAAGACCTATCAATTATCTTTGACTAGAACAAAGATCAGAGTATGTCGCAAACAAAATTTGCCCCATCTTGAATTTCTTCAATATATAATGATAGCTCTTTGTCGAACTTATCCATAGAAGAGAGAATAATGTCATGGACATACATATGTATTCTAATATTTATTTATATGATTAAATAGAAATATATAAAAATAGATTTATTTCATAATATCTTTTAAAAAAACTTCTTAGATGCTTCATAGATGCTACTTTGACTTTATATGTATTTGTAGTTGATTATTAAGTTAGAAACTTGGTCAACTAGTTAACCATGTGTCACACGTATTAGTAGCTTGTGGAATAAGCTAACTATGTGGTGCACATATAAAAACTTGCCTTGTAAGTTAAGATATGTGTTTTACAAAGTCAACATGTTTTGGAAATCATGTAGAACATCACCACATAACTCTTAATTAGATAGTATATATAGAGGTAAGAATAAAGCCTTCTTCATTCTTGTCAATGCCTTTTTTTCAAGACTTTCTAGTCTTAAAAGTCTTGAAAGTCTAAAAAAATAACAAGGTAGTCTTCAATCTTTTTTCTAGACTTTCTAGTCTTCTTGTCTTTGAAAATAGCTATTCTAATTTAATATAAAATTATATATAAAATCAAATAACATGTATTAATCTTTAAAAAGCTTAACAACAAGATATTATAAAATCTATTTACATTTATCTCTTATCTAATATTTCTTATCTAAATAATTATGTATATTTGTGACAAATGTAGATAAATTAACTTAAGTTACATTAAAAGTTCTACTATTTTTTCTTAAAACTTAATTTTATATAGCTATTAAGATAGAATAGATTTAAAAAAATATTTTAGAATACATATACTTAATTATATCTTAACTTATATATATTTTTAAAATTAAAAATATTAAAAAGATGAAATTAAAGCCACCACATCTAATATGATAAATTAAGCATTATATATATATATATATATATATATATATATATATATATAGATATAGATATTAAGACTATAAAAATTATAAATATACTAAAATTTATATCCAAAAAATAATCATAAAATCAAAAAACTATTCTAGTGTATTATTAAAAAAATATAAAAAAATATTTTTAAAAAATATGATAATATTAAGAAGAAAATCACACAAAATTCATATATATATATATATATATATATATATATGTGTGTGTGTGTGTGTGTGTGTGTAAAAATTATTTTTAATACATTGAACCTTAAATATTTTATTAGATTTTAGTAGTATTGAAAGATATAAAATAATAATTACTAAGAAAAAACTACAAATCTTCTTTAATCCATAGCAATTAAAGTAATCTTAATAGTCTTATAGCTTAATTAAAATAAAATTTTTAAGCAACTATAGTTGGCTAATATTTTTAGCTTTATAAGAAATATTTTAATAATACAAAATATTTCTATAAAAAATATAACTATATTTTTATTTAATTTTTAGAGCAAAAAAATCATCTAAAATTATCATTCACTATATCATATTTATATTCTTGTCTACAATCCACTTGAACATGGTTTCTACAAAAAAAAATCTTTTAATTTTTAAACTTTATGTAGCTATCTCCTTTAAATTTATTTTTCATATTTTTGGTATATTTTTCTTTTTATTTTTTAATATTTTAAGTGATTTTAAATAAAATATTATTATTATTATTTATATAATTTCTTGAATTAAGGCCTTAGTTTATTTTAATACAAAAAAAATATTAGATCTTTTTTTAGTTTTTTATCTTTAAATTTTAAATTAAAAAAAATAATATAAAGTTTGTATATGTAAAATTCTTATATTTCTTTACTTTAAATTTTTGGTTTTAGAAAGAAGGTCTTTAGAATCATTTAAAATATTTAAAGCATCCAATGTTACCAATAACAAATCTATGCTATTATTTTAACAAAAAAAAATATTTCTAACTAAAATAATAATTCTTAATTTTTTTTTATTTAAGGTTATCTAATACAAATAAAATTATATTATTTGTATAAAAGAATAAACCCTTTAATTTTTGTCTATAGTTTCTTAATTGTTTTCCTTTTCTTTAAAACATACTTATTAAAATTTCTTGATTTAAGATTAACCTTCTTTAAAAACAATGTATATCAAAGTACTTACAACAAACTAAGCAAATGTCTGTAGTTTTAGGTCAAAAAGTGCACTTAGATTGCTTTACATCAAGCTATAATAGTACTAATAGAGTCTTTTGTTGTTTAAAATATACCAATATGAAGACATGATTTTTTTTAAATAATTAATAATCATCCTCTAATCAAAATACAATCTTTTTTAAAGATGATATACTTACAAATACACTTCAAATTAAAATGTAGTATTCTCAATTTTATAAATTAATAAACGAATATAAAATATGTTATAATAAAATATGCAATATTTAAAAAAATATATCACTAAAACATATATATTTTTTATTTATGAAATATTTGTAAAATAATATAAAATTATATAAGTATGGATTAAAAATATTAAAAATAATTATAAGATTAAAAATATCAAAAAAACTAGACAATTGATTTGGTTAGGGATCACAAATTTGATTCATTGGTTTAGATATATCCATGTGCATCAATTATGAATTGTCAAGGCTAAAAACAAGTAATTATAGACTCTTTTTTTCTTTTTCTTTTTCTTTTTTCTAATTTGAATGCACTCTACTTTTGTAACCATTTTTTTATCACATTTTAACAAACAACCTATAATTAGGGAAAATATTTTGGTACCCTCTATCGGATATTTTAATACCCGACATTATCAAATTGGTACCATTAAAATGCAAATAGAGAAAAAACAAGTGAAAAATGAGCAAAGTTGCAATGTGGCAAGGTTGCAAAGTAGGGAGGACATGCAGCGATTGGTGAGATGGCCAGTCTGTAGAGAGAAATTTCTAATGAAGTCATTAGAATATCACAATATCCAAGTGGGGTTCTAAACGATCTGTCCCTACACTTAATGATGAGGAAGTCATTTCAAGCTTTCTCTACCCCACCACAACCGCAACAGAAGCTCAATCACTTTTGTATCTACCTTTTGGACTTGCTTATGTAATAAATTAGATTCACTTTTTATCACTTGCGGTTTTTATTCTGGAACATAGAATAACAAACAATATGCAGCTGTATTCTTTGAGTTTGATTTTAAAGCCCATGATAGATTTTTTTTTAAAGGCAAATTAAAAGGGGCAAAAACCCAGAAACTAAAAAGGGAAAGAATAGAACAATACCAACAACTGCAATCCATGAACAAAATCAATCGTAGCAATGGTGGGGGCAAAACCAGCCCGAAACGGCTCCACCTCAGTGGAAGTGTGGAATCAATGCTAAAAGGCAGATTACACCGCGTCATCACTAGATGAAATAAGAGTCTTAAGGGTCTTGATTTAATGTTTTGGACTGTATATGTCAACTGGGTTGTACTGATTCTGTCTGCCTTTTAGCATTGATTCTGTCTGCCTTTTAGCATTGATTCCACACTTCCACTGGCTATGGCTTCGTCGTCTTGTCTCGTCTCCTTCACCGCAAGCTTCCAGTCTATTCCATTCCCTTCACCCCTTGCAGATACCTTCATCATGGACTGTCTCAATATCACACGCAACGATCCATCTGCAATATTTTCTACTTTCCCTGTGCAGGATTTTACAGGAACGTGATACCCCAGAGAGTCGGTGATGATCGAGGGTGAGGAGTCTCGTTCTCGAGGATGACGCGGTGTAATCGGTTCTGGGTTCTGCAGATCCAAGGGTGTTTGGCAGTGCAGCTGTGCAGTTGCTTCCATTTCTTTTTCATTTACTTTCCTCACGCACGGATTTGCGTACCGGGAAGACAAGTGTAGCTCATGGAACACTAAACCTAGAGCCGCCTGAGGTGCGCTTTGTGTCACATTTGTTAGTCTTGCACACTGAGAATTTGATTCACCCTCCATTAGCTTGCCAGGAATCCCCCATAAGCATTGAAGTAACCCTGGTTTGTTCCGTTCGATGTAGCTGCAACTTATCCTCTGAAATGTGTTCCATTCACCGACACTCCCATCCTTTCGGAGTTCCTGCGATTCTGCTCCATTGTTGTTTGCATAATGGTTGCAGTCCATCTTGATTCTACCCTCTCAAGGTTTGTTCATCGAAGCCCGGTTGTTCAATTACCATGACCAAGCCCTAACGCAAGACATGGATGGTCCGGCCACAGGGTGAGCACCCGGTAGTTAGGGGCATTAGGTGACACACTGCGAACATCTCGCATCCCTCAACTTGGAACGAGAACCCGGTCAAATGCTGTGGTGAACATTGCCAATCTGAGGGCGGACTGGCACTTGTCAGAACAGAATGTGGTGTTTCCGTGGTAGTAAGTTCGAGGTCTCTCCAGCAAGTCGGGGCCCTGCGGATGTCAGGTACGTTTCATGTACAATATTTTGATGCCCGTTTCATTATCTACGTAGGATGAGCTTGTACACGAAGGAGCTCGATTGTCCCTGAGTTGTTGGACAGCTCGACGTAGGAGTTTCATTCCAGGTTGACGACACATGATAACACGATCTTTGTACGAAGTGCTCAGACGAACATCCCGAAACCAATGCAGAGCAGACCTAGAAATTGTACCTTGCAATCCTTCCGTTCATGAAGTTACCATGTAGACTTGTCACTCAAAGAATACCAGGTTGATTAGTTAGGTTTTACTCATCGCGACGAATTGAGCTTGTTGCTTCCAGAGGGTCAGCTGGATGTATGTGTGTAAGATCGGCACTGAAATGGCAACTGGCCAAGGATGATTGTGCACTTGTTTGTTTTCAGGACAGTGTAGGTCATTTAGATGATAGGACCTTGAATGACTGGCAAAACGAACATACGTGATAGTTAAATACCGGAATGATTCACCCTGCTCACGAGTCGGAGAAGAATCTGGATTGAGATAGCCTGTGAAGGCGAGCTCCCGTGTGAAACTCCGTCAGCTGATTAGCAAGCCTTTGCACAGCCCACGAGTCCGGTGCGACTGTTACAATCACGCAATCCAGGGTACTGGCTTTCTGAACGTTCTTCTAAGACGGACGAAACGAGAACAGTATCTTACTTGTACAGTTTGTGGATACTATTCTGCAGAATCCCATCGCTCGAACCGCACCACAAGGTTTTCCTGAGTCACAGTGGCTATCAGAAGCCGTTTGTTGAGCAATTATGTGAAGATCTAGTGGCGCATACGTACATCCCATTTTTCGATCAACGAAACGACAGCTTGCCCAAGGGCGAGAAATTCGCTAAACTCATATTCGATGCTGCACGACAATGTCATGTTGGAGTGGTGGTGCTTTCAGAGGAATACCTGACTTCCAAGTGGCCCATGCTAGAATTGGTGGAATTTTGCAAGGCTGCCGATGAAAAGCGTAAAGCAGGGGATCAGTTCGTGAGGGTGTTGCCTCTGTATTACAAGCTATCGATCGGTCAAATCAAAGACGATTCGAATAAAACGCGTTGGAGAAAGAAGTGGACATCGTTTGCGAAGAAAGACAAAAGAATCGATCTGAGGGACTGGGAAAATGCATTGAAGCTGCTTCAGGATGTGAATGGTATCAGTTTACCAGCAGATGGGTCGGAGGTATCCTACAGGAGAGACATTGTCAAAAAAATTTGGTACCTTTGCCCTCCACACGTGCCGTATGATCTTGACGAGAAGGAGGGCTGGGAGCGAATATGTAAGGTGAGTTTCGAGGTCTGCCACTGTCTCCACACTTTTTGGGAACGCCATGAAAACCGTGTTCTGCCGGGCATGGCCGCCCATCCTATCAGTTTGATGTTTCTAACCAGTCGATTCCAACTAAGAGTTTCGCTGCACCTTCGCAACGATGTTGGATTGTATACTTGTGCAAAGTATTCGTTTCATGTCTCTCTGACGAGTCTCGAGCAGAATGCAGGTGTTATCGGGCTTGTTTGTTGCTGACGAAGGTGTGGAGAAATTGGGTATTTACGGAATGGGCGGCTTGGGAAAGACAACCATCTGCAAAGGAATGTGCAACTACTTTCATGGACATTTCTTTGGAAGGGTGTTTCACTTAGAACTAGTCAGTGGGCGTAAACAACTCGATTTGCAGAAGCAGATGTTGAAGACCCTGTTTCGACTTGGTGATGACATCCTCCAAACGGTGGCATCCTCGGATGAGGTAAAGTGAAGTTGGTGTTGGAAAGGAATGTCCGAAATGATGAGTATGAGATTGCTACCCGTGCAAGCTCATAGGTTAGAGGTGAACGAAGGGGAGCGAGTTCAATGACAACGTGTCCATACGTGGCGCACACCAATCATCAGAGTGTATCTACTGCTGCGTCCACAAATAAGTGGGCAATGTCACAGTCCGTTGAGGATACCGATAGTGGTTATCTGATCTAGCGATTGTGTTCATGTACGTTACAGTAACCCATGCGTTGTGGCTGCAACAGGTGGTAACGTGCCTGAACAAACACGCGGGGACTCACCCAGTTCTCCTGATAATAGACAACGTGCAGGACGACCACGATTCTCAAGAGGAAGCAAGAGGGTATCTGAAAGCCAAGTTCTGTGAAGGCAGCAAAGTCGTAATAACCTCTAGAAGCCGAGTGGCGTTGGAAAAGTTGCTTCCTGGACCTGAGTTCCGCAAGGCGATGCCAGAACTAGAAAGGGATGAGGCTGCAAGAATATTTCTGAGACGAGCAGTGAGGCATGAGAAACGGCTGTTCTCACTCGATCCCCGGGAAAACAAAGTCCTGGATACCTGTCTTGAACAATGCTCCTTTTCGATGGAAGGTGATTCTTGGCACCGGTCGAAGAAGAGGCATGGGCGGCGTGGACAATACCATCCCTTGGCTTTAACTGCGTTAGCATCATATTTGGAAAGGAAGGCCCAGGGAAACTCCAACTTGTCGCAGTGGGAGCCGCACCTTCGGGGTTTTGACAAACTCAAGCTGTCCAACGACTCCGATCGCATGTTCGGCATTTTAGGCATGCAGCTAAGAACTTTCACGAAGCCGAAGAAGCTGTTGTTCTTCGACGTGGCGATCTATTCACGTGGTGAGGTGGAGTTGGACCTGACCTCAGTGGATGGATGGTGTGATTGGTTGGCCATGGTGAACCCAGATATGGGTGAAGAGGAATTGAAGAGCGAGGTGAAAACCGTTACACTTGCAGCGCTGTGTAGAGTGGGGATTTGATGAGGGATCTGTGTGGCTTGACTTCAGTGCGCAGAATTGCTTGATTGATGGGTTTAGGTTGTGGGCCCAGCCATCTGAAGCGTGAAATCGATAGCAGCAAGAGCTGATGCAGCATGAAATAGGGACATGATGAATGGAATCGAGTTGATGGTGCTTTGTGACGGTGCGCAGTTAGATGACCTGAAGGACGTGGGCATCATCGACTGGGGATACTCGACAATAGCTATTCATGAGCTTTACAAGGAATACGCCGAATGGTGTTTGAGTAGATGGGGTAGAGAGGCAGAAAATTTGCATGAAGAGGTGTGGTGTGTGCGCCACAAACCGTCGTACGGCAAGTCATTACCTCGAGCACTGGAGCGGAGAGCTCCATCGGGATGGTGGCCAGACTTGGAAAGGCTGTGGTTGGAAGGAATGAAGACGGCTTGCCCAATCTCTGCACTCGAAGTGCAGGAATGGCGTAACGTTGTGGTGCTGCAACTTCACAATTGCAGCTCCGTGAGAGAGCTTGACCTTCACATGTTTTGCTGTGTTCGGCATCTGGAACTGATCGATATGGAGAACTTGGAAACTGTGCAGTTTCATGCCACCAAGAATGCAGGCGATAATCGCGACGGACAAAGTACTGGTAGTCAGGTCGTCGAAAGTACTGGTAGTTCAGAATGCAAGGATTTGAGTGAGCAGCCCAATTATCTGCAGATTGTGATGATGAAAAGCCTTAGCAGTTTGAGGAGAGTATCCAGCTTTAGATCACCCATTCCATTGCAGAAGTTCGTTTTGAGAGAATGTCCAAGCTTAGAGGAGTTTCCTTCGTTTCAGATGTGCACAATGCTGGATACCCTGGAGTTGGATTGGACGTCTAGGGTGGAAGACAAACCCATAAACCTAAGCACGTTAAGTGCCTTACGGACTCTCATCATTAAGAATTACCTTGGTTACTTTGGAACGGCACTTTATTTCCACATAGAGGGCCTTGGTTCTTTAACACAGCTTGAAAACAATCTTATATTGGTTAATGTTCCTGTGCGGAGCTTGGCAGGGCTTGACATGCTAACAAAACTTCGTAACCTGTGCCTGGATCAGTGCCATTTCTTACAAGAGCTTGAGGGGTTGGATTGTCTCTCTTGCCTGGAGTCGCTAGTTGTTTCTTACACCAAGGTGGAAAAACTTGCGGGATTGGACAAGCTTTTGCAGCTCCACTCTCTCGATTGTTCCTGGTGCCAGGTTAGTCAGAACAGAGTGTATAAAGGAGGAATGTTTGCTTTTCTACTGAGTTCTTGAAGGTTGTTGTTCGAACCCTCAGATGAAACATCGAGTAGTTTGAGATTAGGTGTAACGGATGGATTGAATGTTGCAACTCAGAATTGTGGTGTTCCTGGAATCAGGAGCTGGTGTGGTTGCCAGATCTGGACAACTTGCCGAAGCTAAAATTGCTGTCCACTAGGGGATGCATGAAGCTAGAAAAGTACCCTCTGGTCCCGAGATACCCATTTGCTCATTTGAGGGATCCAACTTGCGCGATATGTGACAAACCCCATTGCAGCTGCTATGCCGATCCTTTTGAGAGCCTCGACAACGAAGGTGAGGAAATGAGGTTTATGTTTAGTTTCGAGCCTTGAATTCTAATTTCTTGTTACAGCTTGTAAAAATAATAATTATTATTAGTATTATATTTTTTATGTGATCATTTATTCTAAATGAATACGTCGTAATAAATTAAGCTATTTCATAATTTCTAAACTTTGAAATTGTGAGGATTAGATAAATTATTTTGAATTTCTCTTTCTGCACATCCTTTTCACTGCTTGAAATGTTTTTGAAGTTTTGAGTTACTTCTTAGTTTTTAGTGAAAAAAAATTTAGCAGAATTTTCCATTTAAGTTTCTAAACGGGGTCTTATTTGAATTATTTATACAAATGTTTTTTTTTGGATACTTTTGCAAATTACTTCAATTTTTTCATAAAATTTTAGGTCTTAGATTAAAAGTTTATATTTGTAATGGCATGCTACAATTATCCAAGAAATAGAGTTCATTATTTGTATTGAACATAAAACAATATAAATTAGTAAAACATCAAAACGATTCTACTTAAATTTTATGAATAATCTAAACTTTATTAAATATGATAGACCTAATTTATCTATTCACATTGATATATCAAATTCATATATATATATATATATATATATATATATATATATATATTTATATATATTCTGATTTATGTTTTGTAATGATTCAATATCAAAATACTAATAAATAAAAAAATTATAACAATCCAATTTGCATGTATAGATTGAAAGGTAATATACTAAATTCTAACTAATTAACCATGTTAATAGTTATGTAAATATAACTTAATATGCACAAGATTTTATACGATAAATTTAGGAATTAATTATTCAAATTACAAGTTTAAATTAAATACATAAATTATAATTATTTATAGTATGACACATAACTTAAAATCAAAAGACTAAATACTGTAATAACTAAAACTAAGTAATTGTCATTCTTGAAAAAAAGATTATAATAAAAAATATGTACTTATTTTTTAAAATCTTAGAATAGATTATAAAAAATATCAATTGATTTTAATTTTTGAATTAATATCTAAATGTAGTACTTTGTAAAGTATTAAAATTAATTAATTAATGTATAAAAAAAGTAAAACAAAACTTGATTGGTTTTATAAAAATATATGTACATTTGTTATTTTTATATAAGTGTTGTAAAAGAGATATTGTATATTACACGTAAAATATTTATTTAACAGAATATAATTTTTATTCTTACAAAATAAATGAAAATAATTATTTTATTATTTAAGAATATAAATAGTTTGAGAATTATACTCTTAAATATCTATACTCTTATTTATAAATATATTTATAAATCTTTTTTGTAAGATTGAAAATTACTTAGTTAATATTAATTATACAATATAATTGTCATTTTCAACAAAATATTTATACTATTATTAATTTAGAATAAAAACGTAAAAATAATAATAATAACAATTAGAAAAGTAAATAAACTAATGTGAATATGTAATTTTATTTAAAATCAAAACTAGTTATTTATTATGGAGGTGTGTATGCTGCAGAGAGAAGGGAGGGAATGTCCATGCAATAAAAGAGTGACGTTTGTCTAACGGTGCGGTTAATTTATTAGACATCATGGTTTATGTTTTATTTATTATCTTAATACCAAAATTTGATATGCTCTTATCCATTTGTATTCTATGACTCTACATTATTGCAGCCTTTAATTCTTTTGTCCTTACAAATCTTTGTCAAATTATTTTTTTGAATAATAAAAACATAAAAGAGTGTATTTTATTATTGTTGTTATTTATCAATGCCAAAAAGAAAAAGAAAAAGAAAAAGAAAAATTTTATTTTATTTGGAGGTGTACACATAGTAAATGCATGGAATATATATATATATATATATATATATAGTTTTTTAAAAATCTATTTAACATCAGAAGAAGTTTTTAATTCTTAATTAATTTATTTATTAAATTATCTATACCATTCAAGTATACATCTTACCATGTCAAATATGTGATAGAATCTAAAGTTTAACTTCTTTCAAATAAATCTAGATTTATGAAAAGAAACTTATAATTTTAAAAACCAAAATCTTAATTCCTTCCACTATTTAATTTTTTAAAAATTCTATATATATATATATATATATTAAAAAAACACATCCACAAATTTTAAACAGATTATTATAAACATGTTTCACACCTACAACATCTGGCATTGAATATAACTTTGGAAGGATATGAATGATTACTGAAAAGTGATCATAATTTTGTTAAAAATTGATAAGATTGGTGAGAGTAGAAATCTATACCTCTCTGTAGGAATGTCTTCTTGAAGATGGTGTGAGCGGCGTCGCGAAGCCTTGAAGCTATTGTGAGTGTAGTCGCGACGCCGCGAGGAAGGGCGTGACGCGTCTTCCCCAAGCACGCGTTTCATCACCACCGCGGTCTCGTCTCCGCGCGTTCAGAATTCCTGGTGGTAAGCAGGCATGGCGAGCTTGCCGCGAGTTAGTTCGCCCTTCTCCCCGGGTATCTACATGATGAGTTTCGTCTGATCGTATGGCGCAAAAGATTTCCTGAAAAGAAGAGGTCACGGTGCGTGATTTTCTCTTCTCGGCGCAATGCTGCGTGCCATCCAACGACGAGAATCCGCCCATGTTGGTTGGTAGATCGATTGCCGCTTCGTTATCGAGAAATTGGTAGTGCGCGGCGTACATGAATAATATCATCACCTTGTTGGAACAATTGAGGAAGAGATCGCGCAGAATGTTGGACTTCTTGGAAGCGGTGCGCTTCGTGTGTAGCGATTTTGTACTAAGAGCCTGTACTGGTATCCCCCCCCCCTCTTCTGTACTACCAGTTCCTGTAATAGTACACGGAGGGAAGGATCAGGTACCAAGATTTGCGTCAGAATGTCACAATGCCAGTTCCGCGCTACTTGCGTCTTAGATAGATTATTACGGAAAAGTACGCAGCTTCATCGGACGGAAGGAATTTGTCGGACTGCACAACCAGGAGCACTTGTAGTACCAAGTGTGACTTCGATCATGGGGGTTCGAATTTTGATGGTAGTAATAGATAGTACTGGGTGCAATGCAACTCGAGCTTCGCTTCTGAAGAGCACTCGTAGCGATTGATTCCTACATAAGTCGATGGGTTTGTAGCTCACGATAACATCGAAGTGTGGTGGTTTTTTATGAGCTTCATTGGGCAGAAGGCTCCCCGATTGACCATGGCTATGCTCTTCTGAGCCAGATTGAGCTGTCATAAGAGGCGGGTACACTGGCTTTGTCTAGAGGAGAAACTTTTGCTTCTTAGTTATGTACGTACATCTCTTTTCATTAGTTGTATCATCAGGATGGCTGTGTTTCATATGTTTCAGTCTGGTCATTCGATTAGTGTCTTAGGTTTGCTAATATGACTGCTCTTTCTTCTCTGTCCACCATGATTCTTGTTTCACTGCATGTGGAGCCAGCTGTTCATCAGAATGAGCTACATTGCCAAAGGTTTAGGGAATCCCGACTTGTCTTCAGCAATGCGGACGACAATGTTCAACTGTTGCAGCGCCTCGTATCTAACAACGTGGACAATTTGCTAACTTGATATCAAACATCGAACCAGGCATAATTTATTGACTCTCATTGGATTTTAGTTAAGGGCAGAATCTCAGCGTCGCTCGCAGCGCTTCTCGTTCCTTAGATGGCGGACAAAATGTCGAATCCGAACATTGTCTTCCATTTCAATCCTGACTTGCAGGCTGAGTGGATCTAGGAGAGAGCCTGTGACCTTCAATGGATGAACAATGTTTTACATCACAGACACTGTTAAGTGGGAAACATTGCCACGAAGACATGCAGATGGCGAACGATGACTCTGGAAAACAATTTTCTTGTTCATGGGAGAGCCAATACAATGATATTAACTTCCACTATAATTAGCTGAATCTAACTTGGGCCCAACTTGAGATTGATCAATGAGCAGCTCCTTGCAGAGGCATTTCTGGTCTAGATCGATTAATGAAGTATGAGGGGAACAATTTGCTCAGTTATTCTCATGGGCGTTAATAGAATTCATGCCTTCACTCTCTCATTCATTCCAACACCTGCGTGCATTTGTAATCACGGACCTCGCGTCGCAAGAACTTCTGGATTTGAGGAATGGAACCAATTCTGAGTGTTTGGACTGTTACCATATCCATGAGTTTTTCAGCAAGGCCGTAATCTACTGAAAATTTCCTACGGAAAAGACTGAGGAGACCCACATTCCAGCTCTTACAGCGAAGAAGGTCATTACTAGAGTTGCTTAATCAGTAGGTCCAACATCCACTCCGCCAGACTCAGAGAAAAGAATGTCAAAAGAAAAAGGACCCCAACGCCGCAATAAAGAACCCAATCAAATGCAAAGAGATGAGTAGAAAAAGGCAGTTCATTGTGTCTTTGCCAGGTCGTGGATACTCCTCGCAAGAAAGCTGATGTGTGCGATATTTGGAGATATTCCTACAAAAAGGTTTTGCACTGTGGCACAGTCGCTGCCCGCTGCTCAACGTCTGCCCAATGGCCTTGGAGCAAGGGCAGCGTCAGAAGAATCCTAGCTCCTCCAATTTCAAGAGCGAGAATTGGAAGAATCCTATCCTGTGCACCAACACTATCTCGAATCCGATTGCAATCAACTGCATCTGACGAGCCAGGCAACGTCTAATTGGCGAGGTGCATTCGGAACTGATCGTGAGCGCCCTGCTGGCTTGTTGATGATTCGTTTAACAGTGACAGGGTTTTAAGAGGATAGTTGTCCCCATATCAGCAGCTTCACCACCTTACTGCAATTTGTTTGCCATTTTTCCACTTTTGACCACAAATCCATGTCGCGGAGCCTTCGCAAGTTCCACCTGCTACGGGTTTCGCTTTTATTTTCGCCAACGGTTTTAAGGTTGCCGTTGTTTGATTGTTAGTGGTGAGTGCGTAATTTTCGACTGGAGGGAGTGATCAGGCTTTGGCGATGGCGACATTGCCGCCGGCTTGGTGTGTGCTTCCTTCGGACAGCAGAGCAGCAACGGCAGCAGTGGGACATAGAGAGCAGGATGGAAATGCCGCGTCGTGTAGCGGGAGGAGGGATGGCGGGGTAAAGAGTGCAGCGAGGTTGACGAAGGCTGTCCGGCGGAGGAGACTGCCTGCGAGGTGAGGTTTCGTTTGCTGGGGTTGGGGTTTGTGTTTCCTGAGTGGAATTTGTGGTTGACAGATGTGAAATGGGTGGGTTTTTGAGGCTGGTTGAAATGGGTTGCAGAGGGTTTAAGATCTGGAGAATCAGTCGTGAAATAGCGTGGAGGTGATTCTAACTGTGTTGGATTCTTTTTTGTTTTTAATTTTGATCAAATTACTTCATTCATTTTATTTTAACTCTCCCAAGAGAAAATGCTTCACGGAGTTTAGAAATCCTTTGCAGGATGAGATTATCGTCGCCGTGGTTAAGGTCGTATGCGTTTGGATCACTGCCTGCAGGCCCTACCAACAGAGCTGCGCACAACCGAACCCTGGAAGTGGATAATGTTTTATTCTCTGAAAGCTGGTCTGGTAGTGAGGGAAATACTTTTTGTGGACCAGGTGATGAAGCGATGGTATTGGCATTAGCCGCTGTGAAAGCTGCGAGGGATGCAGCATCTTACAAAAATGCAATGGATGTGAAGAAGAGAGAGTTTCAGTTGGAGTTTGACACGCCGAGTCTAGAGAGGGCCAGCTTGAATAATATGGAGAATTCATTTCGGATAGGTTGTGATGCTGAGGCTGCAATGCTAACGGCAGAGCAGAAGTATGTTCAGAAGTTAGAATTGCTAATAGAGGGTGCATCTACTTCTGCCAAGAGCAAAGCATCGCCAAGAAGAGATGAAGGTATGTCATTGGACCGAAGTTCTATTTACGTTAATCACTTTTAGTTTTTTCCAAGGTACAGTGTGATATTTTCACGTGCGACCTCATCTGCCATTCATTCTTGGAAGAATCTTTCGAAACTGGTTTGGTGATGGTGGCGACCATTTGCCAGTTCAGGTTAATGTCAAATACAAAAAGCATGGATAGAGGTGACTGAATAACCGAAAGATGACTGTATTATATCCAGTGGAATCTAACTAACACATTTCGAAGCAATGCTGATCTGCGGATTTTCGAATTGCAGAATCTGCAGTTGGGTTGCCTCGATCAAGGAATGTTGCGGTGAAATCGAATCGTAAGAACGAAAGATTTAGAAAGAGGGAACGAGCGTTGGAAAAGGCAGGGAAGGTTGCATTTGCTCTTGCGTCCTCACCCCCTGTACCGAAGGCAGATAAATCCCTTATCAAGCATCGCCTTTCAGACCCAATTTGCTCATATTTACGAGACGTAAAAAATAGTAAGTTGCTTACAGCATTCGAAGAAGTTGCTCTATCTCGAAAAATTCAGGTGACGACTCTGTTTCGATTTCGGCAGTGTTTTTGAAGCTAGTTTCATCAACATCTTTTCGACGTATGCCTCAATGATATGACGCCATAGAATTATGAAATTATAATACTGTCCTCCGTGTGGTCCTCAAGATACTCTGAAACTAGAAAAAGTAAGAGCTGAACTTCAGCGAGACATGGGAAGAGAGCCCACCAGGAGTGAGTGGAGTCTAGCTGTTGGAATGAACCAGACTCTGTTTGAATTGCGAATTAAGGAGGGTCAATGTGCGAAAGATAAGCTTGTGAACTCAAATTTGCGGTTGGTTGTGTCTATTGTCAAGAACTATCAAGGCCGTGGCATGACCCTTCCAGATTTAATTCAGGTTTGTCATGAGTCGTTTGAATGTATTCATCTGGATAGAGCTATCTGCTTTCGACTGAACGGTCACGTGTTATTCTTCTCGTCTTACGGTACTGGAAGCGTGGAGTGATATACTGTCCTTATTCACTGAACCTATCTTCACGTATTTTGATTTACTGAAACAGAGAGGAAGTTTGGGCTTGATAAGGGGAGCAGAGAAATTTGATCCAGAAATGGGGTTTAAATTCAGTACTTATGCGACTTGGTGGATTAGGCAGGCTGTGACGCGCTCAATTACAGATCAGTCCAGGATCATTCGTCTGCCAGTAAGTTCTACCTCCTGGTTTCTGATTACTTAGTCTGGAATCGCAGGAGGCCCGAAATGTACAACTCGTCTGGATGTAGTTCTGCCCTCTCTTAAGGCTTAAGTGCGAAGTTCACGTTTAGGTAGATGAAAAGTACGCACTCCTGTTCAATCAATTAACCATTTCCAGAACTTGTCGAGGAATATTTATCGTATAACCGATCACTACTCACTGCTTGTGACGAGAAACGAAATAATCTCCCTCTTCAGAAAACGTCGTCTGATATACTTCCATTTGTTCAGGTTCACATTTACGAAGTCATCTCACGTATCAACAAATCTAGGATGATGATAGCCGAGGACCAAGGGCGACAGGCACGTGACGAAGAAGTGGCAACAGCAGTTGGGATAAGTGTGGAAAAATTGGATTTCATATTAAAATCGGCTAGACTCCCAGCTTCAATGGATCAACTCATTGGGAGGGATAAAGATCTACCGTTATGGGTAAGATTTCAAGTGAACGATATCGTGAACACCTCATAGCTCTTACATGTCCGAGAATTACAGCTGATTGGAATTGCTTACCATGAAAGGTTCCAGTTTGTCTTCACATGTTCCTCAAAATCTCGTGTTTCAGGAAATGGTTGCTGACAAAGGCTTCAATTCAGCAGACGATTTTCTGACGAATGAAGTGCTGAAGCAAGATATCGACGGTGTTCTACAAACCCTGTCTCCAACAGAGAGGGAGGTTCTCAGACTTCGCTTCGGATTAGATGATGCTCAGTCGATGACTTTGAAAGACATAGGCATCTTTTTTAAAGTGACGCGCGAAAGGATAAGACAAATCGAGGTGAGAGCATTGCGCAAGTTGAGACACCCAACTCGGAGAAATATTTTGCAGGGGCACGTGAAAAATTACCAATGAATTGTTAGTTGAGTAGTTGTAAATAATTAACATTGCAACAATACTGTCAGCACTTTTGTGAGGTGAAAGTTTCTACAGAAGATGATGTACTGTAGAAGCTGTGTGTTTGATTTGTGTCTCAGTGAAACATGGGTAGAGTCGCCTATGACGTGAATTGAAAGCGGTACAATATTGGAGCTGTCCAAACACACTGCAGCTAGAGTTCCATATCTAGGTAGAATATTGTACAATGACCGTTACGATTAAACGTAATCAAGAAATTTTCAGCGACCGTTGTAATTTATTTTGGAAAATTGTCATTTGATTTGCAATTCAAGTGTCTGTGACATACTAATCCCAAACCCTTGCACCTTAACGAAGATGAATTTATCAAGCTCTTTAGTTTATTATGACTTTCAATGGTGGTAATGGAATTATGCATTGAAAATTACTTCCAATGTAAATGGCTTGATGACTTAATTTTTTAGTGTTCATCATTTCTTCATTATTTTCCCTTGTGGATAAGATATTTTTAATGGGTCACAGAATAAAGTAAAATTGTTATCTGCAATGAATAAACTAAAGCTTAATATTACAGCATTTATACTAATAATTTATTATTTTGTCACATCTTATTATGATATTATTATAGCAAATAGTCAGGAGCATCATAAATTTAGGCAATGCAATAGCTAATAAAACATTACATATTGCAACAATAATAAGTGAAAGTACTTAAAATTTTCTCACAAGTTCTTGTATAGTGCTTTAATAAACCAAAACTTTTAAATTAATCAAATTTTGCATACTATATATTTCTTAATAATAAGAAAGTATTTTGGTATTTTTATACATGATAAAAACTATATTTTCTAAAAATACATAACTTCAATCATATTAATTAGTTTGTATGGGTACCCATGTTCTTTGGTTCTTTTATAATTTTAGGGAACTATTAGGTGAATACCCCTACTTTTACTATGTGGACATTCCATTGTGCTATGCACATACACATAGTAAAATTAATAATTTTATAGAAAATAATAAAAATTAAATTTATAGTAAAAGATTTAAATGTAGTGGTTTATGGTTTATTTTTCTTCCTCTTTTTGATTAAATTAAACAACATTTCATTATACATTTCATATGATTCTTTCATTTGCTGTAAAAAAAAACTTATTAATTTTCATTTGAAAATAAATTTATTGTAAATTTATCCTAAAACTTTTTAGTGTAAAAAGTAGTTTCACTGAGTGTACCCAAGGGTACATAGCATGGGAGTATCTACACAATTGAAGCCGAGTGTCCACTCACTTGGGTGGAATCATCCCTAAAATTGTGCTTTACCAAAACATTTCATCTATCCACTCATTTGTCTAAGTTTTGCCCAATCTGTTGCCTACCCACTATTTATGGACAACAAGCAAACAAAACATTGGGTAGAATTATAATAGTTTATAAATAATATGAGATTGGAAGATTATGATAGATTCTAGATTGATGCATTAGTTGCCTGCACAACTTTGTTCACTCTATTGACAATTCAACCCCTCTTGGTTCATATGATTTAGTTGCTTCTTTGTAACCCTCTCCCTTAAGCATTTGCCCTCTACTCCTCTTGACCCAATTTTTTGAGAGTTAACATGGACAAAGATGGGCAAGTAAAAACAACCCTACACAAATTTTATCATGGTATGGTTCTAAAAGATATTTCACGTAACATTCCTCTAATTTTTAAACACAATGCATAATTCTTAAAAAGCTAAATTAAGGCAGAAAGGCAATCAAACAATGGGAAGTTTACATTCTCCTAAATGGTTTATTTAAGTTCCTTGGATTCAAATTAACCACTATTTGATGATTCGTGATTATCGGAGGGGAATAGGTGAGGTAGGACAATACTTCGCCATTTCAAAATTGAGTAGATCCTTCTTTTTGCGGGAAGTAGCCCTGTTTGGCTCCGTTGTGTAACTATTGATCTGGAATAGCTTCTCTAGTAGCTACTGGTTACTATGTCAGAAGAGGTCATATTCGAAGCTCTTAATACGGCTGTCCACGCAAGCAGTTTCAAAATCTATGACTAGTACCTGCACAGATATAAAAGGAGGGCTAGGATTCCCCAGAGTTTCATATTCTCTACGAAGACTCGGGCCGAATGGCTTAGCAAGTCAAGCAAATATATTTTTCCCCGAGAAGGAATGACTACAAAACTATCCTCAAATATTCCACACAGCAATCGAATCCCAGTAGAAGCAAACCCTGAACTAGCAGTGGTTTGTTGTCAGACACAAGTTCACGTGAATTACATGGACATATCACGGGTGCCCTCTAATAGAGGGCTTCAACCTCACAACTTGGGTTAAGAAGCTACCAATTGTCTTCACTATGACTTACATTTTGCAAGTCAAAGATTCCTAAGTGCAAATGTGCACTCCTACGAAGAACCTCCTGCCACGTCAAACTCTTGAATCACAAAGGAGAATATAGTACATGCCGTTTGAGTGATCTGAAACACTACATGCAACTTCAGAATCAAAACTTGTTAAGCGCTCCACATTCTAAGATTCCATGCCAAAAACAAAATCGACACTTGAATTCTCGAAGCAGGAAATCTTCCACTCACCACGTTTTGGCTGCAGAACATTCAACCACATAATATGACCTCGTTATATAAATCATGAACTCGATCAAATCAAAAGACCTGAACAAAACAATCCGGGAAATAATTGAGAATTTAGATGTATCAAGTGACTCCTCTACGATCAGGGCTTTTACAAACAATTCCAATGGCAGTAAGAAATGTAATAAAATAAAATTACATAAAACTCACTGGTGAGCTCTGTGCAAGATTCTGCGAAACCCAAGGAAAAGACCTTCATAAAAAATGAGGACACGCCCATTTCATTTTCCGCTCTTGATCAAAATAGTTTGGCCTTCCATCTTTGAAGAGTGTTTGCGCTGCAATACAAAAGCCACACGCTTCAGCTCTTCCTATCACACAAAAAAATTGCACTAGCGGGTAAGGAGAAACTAATGTTTAAAACCACGTGACCCACCTTTTTAGATTTGTGTTTATGTCCGTCATCACCTTCTTCCCCATCATGCCTCCTCTTCTGCACCCATTACGTACCGTTGATGCATTTGAAGTCGTGAGAGAGCTGAAAACTGATCAACCTACAGCAACAAAAACTCAAAGAAACAAATACCTTCTTCTTATGCTTCTTCTCGCCATTCTCTCCTTTGCTCCGGTCTTTGTCTTTGTCTTTGTCTCTCTTCTTGTCTTTATCCCTATCCTTCTTCTTTTCCTTGTCTTTGGCTTTTTCCCTATCCTTGCTGCGGTGCTTATGCTTCCTCTTCTTCTTGTCTTCATCTTGATCCTTACTCTTCACACGGATGGTTGGTAATCCCCTTTCAGACTGCAGAAAGGCATAGAGAACATCAACCACATCAAAAACAGACAGCCCTGGATTATTAATTACAGATCCCAAATGGTGGTGATTAGCTGAAAGCACTTTCATTGTTCCTATAAACAGCTTTGCTGACCTCTGGTAAAAAGATCGGGCCGGTTTCTTTCAAGGCGAAGGCCCTCCGTAGCAGTTCAATATCAAAATGCTGAAAGGGCACACGATCTGAAGGCATCCAGGACCCAGCGGAACCCTGTACAAGTTGACAAAGCTCCATGCCCTCTCCCCTCCGAAATTCACTATCTCCAACCACATTGCCCAAGTACATAGAATCGGAAACCGATGTTGGCGAAGGCTTCTTGCAAAATGCTTCGAACTGTTCCTTCAGTTGATAATGAGATACAAGATCGACTGCCCCAGTCAATTCTCGGGGTCCTTTGGTAAAAATACGCGAGATACCAGATGTTAGTAAATTTCAAGCTTCTGGGTTTACCAAATCAGCTTAACATTCCTGATGAAATTAGATGGATATCATGAGAATCAAATCAACGTCTCTTTGAATTTTCAGAAAAACATATATTGACGTACACCACAGCAGCTCGCCTTAAGAGAACACAATACAAAGAACTAGCGTCAACACTGAACACCTGATGAACTAGGTCAGTAAGGAAGTTGGAAATATTCCGTATGGTACTACATTTTAAGCGTTGGAACACGCAGAACTTGTTCCATCTAGATGTTACTCGCTTTATTAGCAGAAATATGAGAACCCAAACATTTCCATGAGAACGTAATCACGTGAAACTAATCTGCTATGTAAATGATTTCAGCCCAGATTTTCCTATGCTTCGCTAGTTGATCAGGGACCTATAAAATAGAACTCTCCAAGTATCCATTGTTCAATGAACAGAAACGGAATAAAAAGGAAAAAAAAAAAAAAAAAAAAAAAAAAAAAGGGGGGGGGGGATTGAAGAGAACGCACTTGGAGCTATCGCAAGCATTCGAAAAAAGCAATCGCCGTTAGAAGCCATGCCAGCTGCACTCTGAGAAACAAATGAGGAGAACCAAATAGAATATGGCTCCCTGAGATCTGGTAAACGTCCCTGCATTCCCAGGTGTAGCTCCAAGACTAAAGCTAAGTGTAGTCCTTCATAAGGTGACGAAAGATTGCAGACCAAATGTCAAAGTGAAGGTTGCGTGATCATCTTGTCTTGCTCGTCCCCATATAAAATTCCTTTTAGGTCAATCTAACTTGCCAACTTTGGTAGACACGCAATTCTTCCACGGATCGTCAATGAGCACACGGAAAGGTGCCAAGGCACGCGGCTCCAATGTGGTAATACCAAAAATGCCCACATGAAGTCGGAAGCTTCGGCTGCAGCAAGACCCCTACCCTTATGCATCGAGAAACATCATAACTCCAAACTAACCTAGAATGTGACCTAGACAAGCGACTTTCATGAGCAGATGGTTCTAAAACCCAGAAAATGAAATCCGCCCCTTCAACTCTCCCAGCCCAAAACAATTTACATACAAACCCAAAACAGTCACCGACGTATCTCCCGAAGGAATAAACCTCCAGTATCAACCCTTCGCAAAAAGGGTCCAAAATGTTTCATATAAAGCCCTCATGCCCCGCTTAATGCCACCCACAACTATTGCCGCCCACGGATTCTCCTAAAAACCTGCATTCCGCCCACTGGCACTAGCAAAAACTTGCATAAACCCCTCGCAACCATCTCCCCACATCCACGTTCCCCGACCCACAGCACCCACGCATCCTGCACTTGAACAGCTCCCCAGTCGCACAGGAATTCACCGCAATTCCACCTCCAGCGTTGAATGAACGAGGTGAAAAATCCCCCTCTGATTCTAGAGGTGCTTAGAGACCGAGAGCAGATCATCGACCAGGTCCTGAATCGATTGGGCTCGCAAGCGCAACAGCATCGGCAATGCGAACCCGTGGATGAAAGGGAGGGAAACCCACATCACATCACCTCACATGAGCGTGGAGCAGGGAAAGGGGAGAGAAAAGTATGCGCAACTAGGGTTGCCAGAAACTTATCGGCATCCCAGGCAGGCAATCTGCAAACAAGCCTCCCTCTTTCCTTCCTTCTTCTCTCTCACTCTCTCTCTCTCTTGCAACAATTCCTTCGTTCGCATTCGCGCTTGGCCCGGTGGGAGGCGTCAGGTGGGATCTGTTTCATGGCGTCACGCGGTGCCGATGGTGGGGAGGTCGGGGCTTGTCGGTATGGACGAGCGGTGAACAAAGAACGGGGGAGGAATAAGTCGTTTTGCTGAAACCAATCCAACTGGGTTTTGCATTCTCTTTAACTTACTTACACTTGGATTTGTTGTTGTTGCTTTTGTGATTCCACGCCCCCGTTTGTGGGGTTGTTTTGCACTGCTGTCATGCTTAGAGTTGGATTCCCGTCGCTTGCTTTGAGGCCCACCAGCCATCTTTCTCCCATTACTATAGTTTATTATAAATATATCTCTTTTATAAATAGGTTTAGGAAGCCTTCCCATTTGTCTCTGAGTGAAGTTTTTCAGGTTGGAAGCATCTCACATTACCTTCCATGCATAGAGAGGGACTTGTTGTTTTGTTTTTGTTTGTTTGTTTGTTTGTTTGTTTTTTTTTTTTTTTTTAGGTTATGTTTCTTTTTTTCCTTGAGAATTTTGAGGGTGTCTTCAATGTGTAAGTGGATTTTCCAAATGCATTACATAATATAATTATCAAAGTTCTCTACATCAAAGCATTGTTGTGTTATTTTGCAAAATAAATAAAATATTTGATGAAAAATCAGGTTATACATGCTTCAAAGCATGCTCAAATTGAAGTTCAAAGAACTTTAACGGTGTTTGTTTCTTAAAAGCAAAAATGTTGCACTAATTCATTATAGTGGATCACAAAGTTTTAGGAGTTAGCATTATAAAATCTCCTTGTAGAAACAAGCATTAGAAGTAATTTCTTTTTGGGTGTTTGCAAAATCTTGTGAACTGGCATGATAACAATAGATAAAAAAATTATGCCAAGTTGGTTCAATAATATATTGTATTTGTGATGAGTATACATATTATAATGTGAGGTATTGCTAATGCCACCCTTGCTTTTGTTAGTGATACCACGACTTGTCATCTACTCAACATATTTTATTTAGATTTTTTGAATCCAATCAAAAAATTGTTAATATTTTCTTTATATATATATATATATATATATATATATACTTAAATTTTTTTATGTTGATATTAATTACAATTTTTTTCAAAACAATTTTATTCCAGCTGCAGCAATTACTTAAAATTAAACATGGTTTAGTACTTTTAATAACTAATCATCTAATCATAAAAGATTTTGCAAAGAATAAGTTCAATCTCAAAGTAATTTTAAATTTATCTTAAAGAAGGCCAAGTGTATTGTAAAATATAACAGTGTGAGTTTAAAATATATGTTATTAATTTTATAAAAGAATGTAAAAGATAATGAGAGAATTTTATAGATAACATAAATATTGATGCTAAAATCATTTTATATTATTTGATTGATAAAAACATATTTAAAATTTAAAATTTATAAGTGTTGTTATGTTATATTTTTATAAATTTTCATATTCAAAAAATATAAATAGAAACATCTATGAATACTTTTAATATTTTTATTTAATCATAGTAAAGAATAAATGTTGGTAATTTTCATTATACATATATATATATATATATATATATATTTATAGAATATGTTATGTATTAACTTCAAATAAGAGAACAAATTTTAAATTACAAATTTTGGAAGGATTCCAAATTATACCAAAATCATAATGTAAGATTAAAAAAATATTAAAAAACAATTCTTCTTATAAACGTAAAAATAATTAAAATTTAACTATTAAATCATCAATTGAAATTTTTATATATTTTTTTTATTATATAATGTTACAAATCTAATATTTCAAAAAATAATATTAAAAAAATAATCACATTTACATCTATATCTCTAAATTCAAAATCTTATGCACTCAATTTTTTATTACTATTAATATGTGACATACGAAATAATTATTGTTATTTTTTCCATATTAATAATATTTACTAAGATATTTAAGTTTGTACTCTTAATATAAAGGCTTGTTGAACCTCTTTTATTATAATGATTATTTTTTAAATATTTTACATAACTAACTAAATTTAGAAAAGAGCCTAACCTAAAAGCTTGTTTGAAATAAAGACACTAATCAAGTATAATAGACTAAAAACTAAGTTCCAAAATACCTCCATCTTTACAAAATCACAAGAGAAGATACTAACATTCTTTTAGGTAATTTTCTTTATTTTTCTAAACCTACACATCTTAAATTTCTAAGTAATTAGAAGTATTTAAAAGTTTTTTTTTTTTTTTTTTTATTTATTTTATTTTATTTTATATCTATCAACTTTTATATTTACAAACTTTCAAATCAAAACTAACTAGGATTCTTAACTTTAATAGTTTTACATTGGTAAGTATTTATTTTTTTCACTTTTTCATTAATAAAAAAATATTACAATTAAGGTTTTTTAACAATAAGATTTTTTTGTTTACTTCTTTATTAGTTTATTTTGATATATATATATATATATATATATATAGTTTTAAATCTTATCTTTTGATTTAAATATCTTTATTAAAAGTATTATTATAATAAATTAATAATTACTCAAATTTAGTATTTCTAATAAATAAATAAATAAATAATTTTTTATTCTTTACTTTTTTGATTTATACATATCTCTATCTCAAGCTATATAAATTTAAAATTCAAAAAAAATATTTTTTAGTTTTTTTAAAAGTATCTTTTAAAAGGCAAGAAGCCCTCACTTACTTCACTACTACAATCTTGTCTTGGAATGCTATGTGGTAAATCTTTAATTCTTATTAAATTCTTGTGCACTTCTAACAAATGATGATTGTTTAAACTATATTAATATAAATGCAAAGAATGTTTTTATTACAAAAGACACTCTGTGTAGTACAACAATTCTGTTTTTATTGAAAAGTTTTCTTTGATCTCATGGTTCTTCTCTTACTATTCAATGGTTAATTATTTGCATCACATCTTTATTATTTTTCTTCCATAACTGCTTCATGTTAGATCTTTGTAAATCATGTATGTAATTCAACATTATTCCGAAACAATGCATCACATTCGGAAACAACGTTGTGAAAATACAATTGTGAAACCAGCAAATTGTCACGATCTCCGGCGCCGGATGGGTGTTGCCTTGTATTGCTGATATACCAACAGCGTTGCGCAGACATACGCAACACACATTCAGAGGTAATTTGTGCTTCGATCTCTCTAAATACATATATTATGCCAGCAACCACATATGATAGCTCGTTGCTTTGCATAGCGGTCTGGAATTGTCGGACCATCACCTGGCAATCAACGCCGCGGTTGCACTGACACGAAAATTTCAGAGACCGCGTATCCACTACACAGAGTAGACCCAGTAACAAAGTAATCAAGGATTTCACAAGCGTGTTCTAGATATTATTGTCAGTGGGTGAGTTCACTACTTTGATCTGTTGGGTTGCACTCGGATGTCATTGACAACATTTCCAACAACGTGGTTTCATCGTTACCAGCGAGAGTGCTGTGTTGTTGTAACTATACCAACGCTCACTCACAGGTTGTGCGACCCGATTTGTTCGTTGACGCAAGCAATAGTTGCGGTCAGTAGAGGGCCCGCGAGCGCGGCTTCCGACAACATGTGGAGGTCGTCGAGGGAGAGGGGCCTGGCGCCGTGGGTGGCGATGCACATGGACACATCCGAGAGGGCGTAGTTGGGGACCGCGACTTGGTCCGATCGCCAGAAGGAGATGTCGAAGAACAGCGCCTCTTGCTCAATGTCGCGCTGACGGCGCTGGATGCTTTCGCAGGCTCTCTCCCGGCGCGCCTCCCGCTGCTGCCTCTGCGCGGCGGCGCCTTGGCCGTCGCGCCTCGCGCTACTCGCTCTGCGGCCTGATCGCCTCGCGCCGATGGGCTCCCGAACTCGAGTGCTGCCCGCGGGCAACAACTTTTTATTAAGCGACCAAAAAGGACAAAAAAGGCAAAAGGCAACTTGGTCGATCAAAAAGTAAAAGCACAGATACCAGGGACAAGGGCGATGTTGGTGTGTCGGTAGGTGTATATATATATATATATATATACATATATTTAAAGATGGGAAATTCACAAACGTGGAAGATTAATGTGTTGTAGATTAGAAGAAATGAATCAATCTTCTTCGATTGTAAGAATGATTCTAAAGAAAGAGTCACTCTCACATATATATATATATATATATATATATCTACATATATATTCTATTTTATTTTAAGAGCTTTAAAGTGATTGTCACTTACTTTGACCACAAGACTACATTGTGTTGAGTGTTGCTATTTTGAGAGCTGGTGGAATGACTATGCCTCACCATTGGTTCGTCCTCCATATGAGTGAATTTTTTATTGTGAGTTGGAACTACCATCACATGTTAAACGCAAAAAAATAAAAAAACGAAATTTTGTATATGTTTGATGGGTTTATATATATATATATATATATATATACATACATACATACATATAAACATTATGATGGATTGTTGATACTTGTAGCATTACTTTTATGAAGAATTGTAACTACTCTTTTTAAACATGAGGAGTGTACTTGTGTTTGACTACCACCTAATGCACAAGATAATTATTGATTTTCATGCATAGTACCAGTTTTCTCAAAACTGTTGATGTGATTGTCATGATTTTTAAATTTCTTTTTATTGACACATGAGTTATTTTCTTCTTCTTCCAAATACATTTCATATGTCGAAGTTGAATGTGATTTATCGAAGCCTTCAACTTCAATCTGCACCAATAAATGGTAAGATCATGGTTTTAAAAACTATCAATTTTTTTGCTTTTTTATTTATTTTATTTATCTTAAACATAAATTCAAAATTGCAGTATTATGTTTATAATATCAAAATCTTGAATACATACATATGTACAATTTCTTTTTGGACAATATATTTTTATTTGAGTAAAATATATATATATATATATATATATATATATTAAATCACTTATACAATGAATAATAATCCCACTCACCTTTTTTCCTTTAATATCCACATTACTTTCTTGCCCATATTCAAAGGATTTGTAGTTTACGCTGTTGGTGCTTTTTATTTCACATGAATTGGAATTTTCTCCAAAATGCAACAAATCTTTGGGGCTTTCTTCACAATCTTGTGGGTATAGGTTTTTCTTGCCCGGTCTTTCTATTTCCAAATCATTTTCTATTCCCAATTCATTTCTTAATTGAAAATTGCTTCCATATCTTTGAGAATTTGCAATTGGTGAGGCACAATCTCGTTCACGCCTTCTAAAGTTTTCTTTTTGTAATTCTCTTTTGAATGAACGTTTTTCAATGAATTTTGAGTGTTTTTCTTTGACGGCCATATACTTTTTTTTATTAGATTTATGGTTCAGTAGAAAAAGATTGTTATTTGTGCTTGAATCCTCTGAGCATTGTATCCTCCTAACTTGAAATACATTCTGTTTTTCTTCTTCAGTTGGACACATTAAGTTTTTGTTCATTTCATAACCTAAACTGGCCTTCTCGTTTAATGAATTGTTAAGCGACACTGAGGAGCTTTCTGATTTCTTTTGGTGGTGTTGTGAGGATTCTTTCCATACATGTAAGCTTTTATTTTCTTCAACCATTCTACCAATCTGGAATGAAATTTATTAAAAAAATAATTAGATGTGATTTTTTTTTTGTGTGTGTGTGTATATATATATATATATATATTGAAATGAATTTATTAGCCTTATACCATTGTATATGAAAAAAATAATTGAAATATAATATAAAAATTAAATTAAATATTATCAAATTTTAGTTGTGTGTGTATACATACATACATACATTCATACATACATGAATATTTTCTCTTACATGTGAAACATCATAATAATTATTTTGATAATTGATTCTTAGAAAGTTTTTGAAATCCGACATAAATTTTTTTAAATGTTCAAATGTCATTTTGTACAAATTAGAATTGATCAAATTACAAAAAAAATATTTTGAAAATAGCACATAAAAATTCAATAACACTTGGTTTGAAATCATCATTTTATGTTCTTTTGAAGTTGTGATCATATTTTTTAGCCACACGTTGAGACTTCCTTGGAATTTTGATGACATCATTTCTTCAAAGAATCTTATTTTCATGTGATCAATGGTTTTCTTATAATTTTTGGAATTTTTTTCAATGTGTTTCATTCCAATTTCTAAAGTGTCTTTGAAACTAGCCAAAGGTTGTTTTTCTTTCAACCATATTTTCAAACCCAAGTCGTTGTACGACCAATCTTCTATAAGTTGATTAACATATAGAAAAGGTTTCAAATAACAATCTATGGTATTAAGTTTTAAAGTCTTAAATGATGGTGTGGAACTTGAAGCACGGTTTGAAAAGTCATTCCAACTAACTTCATTTTTTCTTTGATTTTTGAAACCCTGACAAACATTATAAACATTTTTTGAAGTTGAAGACTTTATTATTTGATTATAGACTTGAGGAGTTTGAATTTCATCAAAAGCAGGAAGATTTTTAAATCCATTTTCTAAGATACGTGGTTCATATCTAAAATTCGAATTCAGATTTTTAGATGCATTTTCATGAGTTTGAAACTTTAATGGTGAGTTATTCAAATCCTCAACTTTGTTTAGGGCTTGAGTACTCATAGAAAATTGCATTTTGCTTAGATGACATGAGTTTTTATTATAATTATCGTTATTCACATTATCATCTCCATCAATAAAACCCTTTCTGCTCTTACTCTCATTTTTAACATTATTTTTAAAAGCAATGTTTTCATTGATCAATCTATTTAATTTTTCTAGTTTTTGGATTCTAACTTGTTGAATTTGGTGTTCTCTCATATGGATTGTTAGACTTTCTAGGATATCTACAAAAACAAATCTTTTGAGTTTAATGAAATTCTCTATAAAATTTGGAATAGTATCTTGGAATTCATCTAAACCTTGAACAATTGCAAAAACAATAACGGGGACCATCCGCTTAAGCACATCATTGTTTGGTGCAATGACTTGTTTTAATTGAAAATCAATTACCGGTGTATTAGATTTTTTTTGGGTAAAGTATGGTTGTCTTTGAAAATTAAATATGTTATTAAACATATTTTTTTCGTCATTTTGGTGATTGTGTACATCGGATTTTTCTGTGGATGGTTTTCCTTCATATTCTACATTATTCTTACTACAAAGCATTATGATTGGATTAGAACCGTTTTCAAATGTCAACAGGGTTTTTTTGAAAGAGTAATTCATTGCTTTAATCTAAATTTATTGTTCTAGTGATTAAAGTTTAATACAGAAGCAAGTCACACTTTTTCCTTTCTCAGTCATATGTGGTTTTAAAACACTTAACACAAGCCTCTGTTCTAAAACTTAACTTTTCATGAATTTGGGAACATTAATTTTTTTTCTAATACATGAAATATCTATTCATACAATTTTAAATTTTCAAAAGAATAAAATATGTTTATTTATTTAGTAAGAAGAAACTATAAAATAATTTTTATTTTTATTATAAACCTAATATATTGTCAATAAAAACTCAAATTTTATCCTAATAAAAGTACAAGCATAAATACATACCTTGAAGTAGATGAAGGATCATTATTATGGTCTTCTTTATTACTTGAAGAAGCAATTTGGTTCTTCACTAGAAGATCAATTTCAAATTTGGTTTTGGATGTTATATCTTCAAACTTGTTTTTTGTATTAAAAGCCCGTTCATGATTGTTATTGATAGTGTAGCTTGAGAATTGAGGTTGTAATCCAAGCGCATGATCAAATTCTACAAAGTCACCTGTCTTTGCGGCCATGAAGACAAATTTTTCTACTGTGACACCAACCTCCGCATATCGCATGCACCGAGCCCATGACATCGAAGGCTCATTTTTTGGTTGCCCAACATACACAATCAATGATTCAAGGGCCCTAAAAGCCTTTACCATTACATATATATTCCAAAGCTTTCTCTCATATGTCAAAAAGAGTTTTGGCAAAACAATCTTGAGTGTCGTGATTTTTGATGCATAACTATGAAATGTGCGAGACACAACCATACAACGCACAAGAGACTTACAATCTCCAATGGCTGCAAAAATAAGTTGCAGAACCTCATTTGGAAGGTTTTCAAACAAATTGTGTTCAAGATCACCCATGATATCTTTTGAACAATTTTATGTGGAAGTATCTACTTGTTATTCTTCAAAATGCTCTTTAGTCTTATGCATTTTAAGATTTTCCTTTACAATGGAAGGAATCATGTATTGAAAGATTAAGAAAAATTTGATACATCAAAATTTTGGAGAAAGATAATTAAACTCATATTAAATAATAATTGAATAGTAATAGTTTTGAAGAATAGATACAATTTCCATAGAAAGGGAAAACAACAATGTAATTGTAACTAAAGGTTTTTCATCAAGAAAATGAATTTATCTAACAAAATCAGATTTCATATTCTTAGGATAATACAGTAACAAAAATGGGATTTTAGGTCACATTTAAAATACGAAAATTTGCAAGATCATGAAAAATAAACATGAACAGTTCACATTGTAACTAGTACAATTATATATACATCTTGCACCCTTTCAAAAACTTAACACATGTCTACATACACATGCATAATATAAGCTAAATCATTCTAAATTTGACTACACTAAATAATTGCTAAAATGAACTCTTATTTTTGAAATCTGAAATTAAAAATAAAATAAAATACACACATGTGTAAAAATCTATATTGAAAAATCAAATATTCATTTTATTTTTCAACAAGCTCAAATAATCACTTTGCCAAATTTGATAATAATACCAATTGCTTGATTAAATACTTAAAGATAGAAAAAAAATTCAAGATCATTTTTTTATATTAAAATTTAAAGTATTTTTTTAATTAATATGATTTTATCCTTCTTTCTATTGATTATTTATTCTCAAAATTTTAAAATATATTTGGATTAAAAATAATTCTATTATTAGAAAATCCAATTTCAATAAATTACATCATTTTTTCTATACATATATCAAAATTCACCTAAAAGTTCATCAAAGTTGTTTTAAGTTAGACTTATTGTTTTTTTTAATATTATACAAATTAAAAAAAAAATATATCTGTTGAATAGTACTCTAATAAATCCAACTTATTTTTTTGCATTTGCATTTAATAGATTTTTTTTGTTATATATTTTAAAAATATAAATAAAAATATAAAATATTTAATAATTTAATAAATAAAATAAAAAATAGAAAACAATAAATTATTGATTGAATTTTTTTAACAACCTTACAAGTGTTTTGATAATTTCAAGAAAAAAATATTATTTATTCTTTATTAGAAAAAGTTAAGCCCTTATATTAGAATATTTATTCTTTTTTAATTTTTAAGAATATAAATTTATATCCTTATACATCTAAAAAAACTATATATGTACACTAAAAAATGAATATAGTTTAAATAAAAGAATATTAGAATGATTATTTCCAAGTACAAAGAAACTAAAGAACCCTAAATCAAAATCAAAACATGAAAATATTAATATAAGTGATGATGGCTTTAGTCTTGCCTCATTTTCCTACTATTCCCATTTACAAGTTAGAGCAGAAGCTTGTCTCTGGTTTCTGGTGAAGCTTTGTTGCAGTAGACTCGAAAAGGGACGAGAGCTCAACCTTGGAGTGAATTTCTGTGTGGTGTACTGGGTTTCTGATCACGTCGAAGTTGCATGCAAGCACAAATGCTGCGAGTTGCCTTTGTAATGACTAAGTCGAACTTGTTATCAGGGTACTAAATTCACTAACTTTCTTAACTTCATGTAGTTTTACTTCATTTTATTGGATGGGTGCTTGTGCTCGTTTCACTGTCGATTTGTTTGAATTATCTTAAACATTGTTTGTCTTGAATATTGTCCTAAATATTGTCATGTGTATCTGAGAGTCTGAAGCTGATGGCTTCCTTTGCCGTTACCGAAAGTACAGAGAATGAAGTCGCAGGAATTTGTATAAACATTTCAAAATAAAGAAAATTGGATCACCTCCTTGCAAAACAAGTGTGGTAAACCACTTCGCCTTCAAATGTTGGCCGTGCAGGAATTGGTGAAGAGGTAGTCAGAGTGGGTCAGCTTCTCCATCTACATGTAGGCCGGCGAAAAGGATGATGTCGAAGTGCCTGCTGGGGAAACCAAGGAGAAGAAACAGAATGAGATCGAGGACACAAACTTTGAGGATAAAAAAGTCTTCTGGTGAGACTCTAACAAATGCCCAAATTGCAAGTTGTTGGTGATTTGTGGTTCTTCTAAAATAGCTTGAGGTCATTTTTCTAGTGTCATGTAATCGTATGGAAGAAATGGTGATATTTACGATATGGTTTTACTCTATGGAAATGCAACTGGTGATTTACACAATGCCTACATTTACTGTGAATAACGAAGTGCAACGTTGCTGGTCTCAGGTTAATGAATGACCCTGCCAGTTTAAGTAGAATGGAACTTTCTGGATTCTTTTTTGAGATTGAAAGCATTTTCGCATCTCATGAATTGACAGATGTTCAGCTGCTTGTTATTCCCTTGATTCGTTATTCATTAACCCTATTCATTAAACCTATTCATTACTTGAAAGATCCAAGTGGGGTTCGAAGCTGTACACAGTGGTCGCATAATGAAAGGATACTTCTCGAGGTTCCCAGACCTCCGAAAAAGGTACGAAATCCACGATGATCCACTGAAATTATTGGCAGCCTCGGTGTGTTTGCATCCAGTAGGATAGCCTCTGTTGTAACCTCGCCTCTACCTTGATACTAGTCGCACCCACTGATGGCTGTGAGGTGCTCGTCAATTTCTTCCGTCGTCAAAACACAAAATTCTGGTTTGCCAGCACGAACCACTCTAACCTGTCAAGAAAGGGAGATGCCACAGACATAGCGTTAGACTCCAATATATATATATATGAAGCTGTACAAATAGCTTGTAGATGTCATGAAAAATGCGATAGAATCCAAATTCAGGAAGTCACGAGCTACTATCAAATCCATTCAACAGCTGAAATCATTTACCCGTGAAATTTCCAAATTCCATATCTGAGTCTCAGCAAAAGCCTCCAAAACGATACACCAATCTATCTTAAATTCACTTTGTTCAAGACATACTGAGCGACCTAGTTCGCATTGAGATGATTGTACATAAATCTATTAACCAAAAGCATCGAAATCTGAACAACGAAAGCGTGTAGTAAAATAACAAATATATTATCCAAACAACTGAATCTTTGTCTTTATAATTTCTTGGTTAATATTACCAGCGGATATGTGTTGCTCAAAACCTAACCCATACTTCCTCAGATGCGTAAAATCAGTACCTCGATTTCAGTGAGCTTGAAATCCTCCAAAAGAATCGATTGCAAAGCTGAAATTGTAGTCTGGTCTACAAAAAGGTTACAAGTCTGCAAAAAAGTCTACCAAGAGAACAGAAACTAATGGTTGAGAGCCTGAAACATACTTGCACAGTTTCCTCGTAGGAAAATTGTGGATTGCTCTTACACTTCTTCTCCAAGAAATTAACAGCTTCTTGCTCCTTAGACCCAAAGCTAGTAGCCTGCGTCAGATAGAAACATTCAAGCTATATGATTCTGATGACATAAAGAATAACAATCCCCCAGCAATCCAGCTCATATGAAATAATTGTACAATGCATCAAAAATGTCATCAAACATAATACGGGTCAAAGTGATCGATTAAGGTGAAATGCCCGCGTTGTTCAAGCGATTTAGGTGCAAAAGAATTAGCCCCCAACACTGAGTTGAATAAATCAAGTCGGATTAGAAGTAAACGCACCTTGTAACCAAAGTAGTGACCAGCCCGATCGCACTAATAAAGTTGTGGGCCCTGTTCCTTCATCAATGCAAATCAGCATAGCAGCTGAATGATACCCAAAAATAAACATAAAAATTGAGCATTACATCTATCCTGTGCTGTTTCAGCTGGACTCAATCCAATCCAACACTACATTCCCTACTACACGATTTTAAGGTCTTTGCTTATGAAAAAATCACTCGGGTTCCATCCAAATCTGGCTCGCTTGCTTGCAACAGCGCTCTACAATCATCACTAGAGAATATGACAAACAGTCGGCAAACGCTCTATTCATTCGGATGGATGGACACGGAAGATCTGCTGGCCAGCATTTTATTTTGGGGGTAGCCTGAGAAATAATATTTAAAATATTTTTTCAAAATAATCAATATACTAATATCATACATAATCATTTTTGAATTGATGTGGCATCTACTTTATTTAAATTATTTATCGTATTTGATTTCAGATTAGTATTGCACTTAGTTTAATGTGTATTTGTCATTTTGTCATTTCAAAGCAACATATATTATTAGGTAATAATTTTCACATAGTTATACATGAATACTAAAAAACATGAAAAAATTCGAATATATTTATTACACAAGCTTCTAAAGTCATATGGAATTTTGAAAATGCTACATAAAATAGCCTTATAAAAATAGTTTATATCAAATAGTTTATATTAAATCTACCAAGATCTTTTTATTGAACAATATGTTTCAAATAAAAATGATGTATAATCTAACAATTGATGCCAATACATACGTAATTTCTATTCTAATATCTCATTAATTATTATTCCAATAATATTTTTATTTATCATTTATTTTAAAATTATAATAATATCAGTGAAAATGATATTATTGTTACCATTATCTTCTACCGTCTTAATTTCTCAATTTAATTGAGATGATAAGATTCTAGGATTCCTAGAATCCTAAAACCAAGCTATACTAAAATAATATGATGCAGAATATGAAATAAAAAAAATAAAAGTGAAGTTGTCAAAAAAAGTTGTGAATGATGATGTAAATTTGATAGGATTTATTTGGATTTTGATAAATAATGCAATATGCATGTGCAAGTGGTATATTTGTGCCAATTTCTTTAAGCAAATGGAGCTTTCTTTGGACATGGATTTTTTAGAATTAGGATTTGTAAGCATTCAAAATCAAAATGAAGAACTAGTTGCTCACATTAGAAAAAAGATGGAAAGGTACAAAGATAATTGTTGTGAAAGCAAATGCATTAGTAGAAAGTTGTATAAGAAATTGGTAGCTAGTTGTTTTGATGTAAAGGTCAAATAAAGAAACATTTCAAGAGATTTTCTTAGAATTGGAGTGATTTTACAATATGATTTGTGAGTTTACTAATAAAAGAAGACTATGTACAAGATTGGAGCTTGAAAGGTGTTTTGGTAGAATTAAATAAGATCTTGAAATCTTTGGATATAAAAAGTGAAGTAAAAGGTCTCATTGAAAGAAAATAACTATTTGCTAAGAAACTTCAAGAGAAGAATTGTCTTCTAATTCTTAATGAAATATCTAATTTTGAGATTTTTGCAATAGTTCATAGATATTATAATGTTTAATTAAAAAATAAAATGATAGTAGTAAGTTGCATATAAGATGTTTTAAAAAATTATGTAACTAAAGGAGGTAAAA